CCCTCGTGAGAAAGGAGAGAGAGAGAAGAGTGGAAGCCTCGGAGTACACAGAGGTTTGCCAGTCTGGTTTGGGGGGGGGGGAGGGTGCCAGGCAGGCTGTGGGGGTCCTTGGACTGGAGGGTGGTCAGGTAAGTAGTGCGTGGGAAGTTATGAGGAGACACGGTGGGGGAGGTCAAGATCAGGGTGGATAATAGTTTCCTCTGAGGCTTGGAGATCTTGGTCGGGCTGGGGCCTGGAGAGGTCTTCGAGCCCTAGGTGGGTACGGTGGCCAGAACTGTTTCACTCGTTTGTCTATTTTTGGTTCACCCGCGGCTACTGCCCAGGTTTGGTATGTCCTGGACTTATTTGTTACATCCTGAAAGGTTGGTCAGGACAAAGGGCTGATCCTGGGTGCTTCCCTGGGATGAATATAGACAGATGGCAGAAAACTAGGTATTGTAAGATTTGACCTAATCGTTTTTAATAGTAGGAATGCAGCCTGTATACCCCTATGTGGTTGCGAGCTATGCTGGCGATGGTACATGCCTTCGGTAGGGTCGCCCATGCCAGACAGGTCAAAACTGTAGGGTTGGATACAATAAATCTGTGGGCAGGATGAGCTCATTAGCCTTCTGGCAGTCATCCTAGGAGAAGGACAACTCTAATCCCAAACCCGGGCAGGTGGAGCTCGTTTAGCCCTGTAAGTCCATCCATCTAAGAGAAGGTCACTCTAATCAAACCTACATCCTGAGGACCTCACTGCCACCGTCCAAGCTCGCTCGGCCCTGGCAGATGAACCTCAGGATTAAAGGGTGGGTTCAGTTCCGCGCATACTGCATCTCACCTAAAAAATCCATTGCGCAGGCTTGAAGGCTTTACCCACATGCAAAAAGTCCTGTAGCGACGGGCGAGGGTCGAAACGGCAGGTGAAAGGTGCACTGGGAGCCGCAGACTCAACCCTGCATGCAGGCGGTTCAGGATATTGGTCATTTGAGACTGACCGGAGATGACAGTCTCTTGAGGCAGCACCCTGAACGACCAAGCAGCCTTTCCAAGGACAGCACTGCTTGCTCCACTCGGAGAGGGGCCTAGAAAAGGTGGCCTAAACAAAGCTCATCTCCACTTTCACCCGGTTGGTTAACCGCAGGCCAACGGGCATCTTCTTCCAATGCGGTTGCACAAAGATCAAAAGACAAAGGCACGCACCTGCCTCCAAAGGTGTACCTAAATTAACTCTAGCATGTTGGAACATCAGAACCATGCTCGATTCTGCGGATGGCAGACGCCCTGAGCGTCAGTCTGCCCTAATTGCCCATGAGCTGGCTCGTCTCAACATCGACATTGCCGCTCTCAGTGAAGTTCGCCTTCATGAAGAAGGCAGCCTCAGAGAACATGGTGCCAGTTACACACTCTTTTGGTCAGGCAAGCCCAGAACCGAAAAACACCTCTCAGGAGTCGGCTTCATGATCAAAAACTTCATTGTTCCTAAACTCGAAAATCTGCCGACAGGTCACTCTGACCGCATTATCTCCCTACGCCTTCCACTAAACAACAAGCAACATGTTGTCATCTTTAGTATATATGCCCCAACTCTCCAAGCTGACCCTGCTGAAAAAGAAAAATTTTACACTGACCTGCGCCTCCTTACCCAAAAGGTTCCTGCAGATGATAAGATCATTATCCTTGGTGATTTCAACGCCAGAGTAGGCAAGAATTTTGAAGCCTGGAAAGGAGTATTAGGCAAGCATGGTGTTGGAAACTGCAATGATAATGGTCGACTTCTGCTAGAATTCTGTGCAGAGCAACAGCTCACCGTCACTAATACTATCTTTCAGCAGAAAGATAGTCTGAAGACAACCTGGATGCACCCCAGATCTAAGCATTGGCACCTCATCGATTATGTCCTGGTGCGACGGAGAGATGTCCGCGATGTCCACCATACCCGCGTGATGCCCAGCGCAGAATGCCAAACAGACCATCGACTTGTGCGCTGTAAACTCAATTTCAAGCTCAAATTCAAACCAAAAAGGGGCAGCATCCCAAGGAGAAGACTCCAAGTTAACAATCTCCAATCAGCCACAGTAAGAGACAGTTTCCAGGCAAACCTTCAAACTAGGCTCAAAAACATTCCCACAGTTTCTGCAGATTCCTCTCCTGAAACAATCTGGCACCATATCAAAAACAGCATCCTGCAATCCTCTGAAGAATTCTTAGGGTTCTCCCTCAAGAAGAACAAGGACTGGTTTGACGAAAACAACCAAGAAATCCAAGACTTGTTGAGGAAGAAGAGAACTGCCCACCAAGCACACCTTGCACTGCCATCCTGTCACGCAAGAAAAACAGCCTTTCGTCTTGCATGCAGCAAGCTCCAACAGAAACTCCGTGACATCCAGAACAAATGGTGGATTGATCTAGCTGAAAAAGCTCAATTATGCGCAGATACAGGTGATCACAAAGGTTTCTATGAGGCCTTGAAAACAGCATACGGGCCTACATACCAGGTACAAAGCCCTCTACTCAGCGCTGATGGTCAAACACTTCTGACAGATAAAACCTCCATTCTGAATCGATGGTCTGAACACTTTCAGACTCTCTTCAGTACCAACCGCGTAGTCCAAGACTCAGCAATTCAGTCCATCACACAACAACCAGTAAAGTATGAATTGGATACTGCTCCCACTTTAGGAGAAACCCTCAAGGCCATACAGCAGGTGAAAATCGGCAAGGCAGCTGGGGTTGATGGAATTCTACCAGAAATCTGGAAACATGGGGACCTTGCACTCCACACCAAATTTCATGAGTTTGTGGTGCGCTGTTGGGAGCTCGGTGAACTACCATCAGACCTTCGTGATGCAGTCATCATCACCTTGTATAAGAAGAAAGGAATTAAATCTGACTGCTCAAACTATCGTGGTATTACTCTGCTCTCCATTGCTGGCAAAATCCTGGCAAGAATACTCCTGAACAGACTAATACCCACTATAGCTGAAGGTATCCTTCCTGAAAGTCAGTGTGGCTTCAGAGCCAACAGGAGCACCACAGACATGGTATTTGTCCTCAGACAACTGCAAGAGAAGTGTAGGGAACAGAACAAAGGTCTCTATGTAACCTTTGTCGACCTCACCAAGGCTTTTGACACTGTGAGCAGAAAAGGTCTGTGGCAGATTTTGGAACGTTTAGGTTGTCCCCCCAAGTTCCTTAAAATGATCATCTCACTCCACGAGGATCAGCACGGCCAAGTCAGATATGGCAACACACTTTCTGAGCCCTTTTTAATTAAGAATGGTGTGAAACAAGGCTGCGTTCTCGCTCCTACCCTATTCACCATCTTCTTTAGCATGATGCTCCAAAGGGCCACAGCAGACCTCAATGATCAGGACGGTATCTACATTCGATACCGTACTGATGGAAGCCTTTTCAACCTAAGGCGACTGAAGGCCCACACCAAGACCTTAAACCATCTTGTCCGGGAGCTGCTTTATGCTGATGACGCCGCCCTTGTTGCCCACACAGAAGCAGCCCTGCAGCGTCTAACATCCTGCTTTGCAGATGCTGCTGAGCTCTTTGGACTGGAAGTCAGCTTAAAGAAGACAGAGGTCCTCCATCAACCAGCACCTCAAGAAGTCCCCCATCATCCCCACATCACCATTGGCCAATCGGAGCTCAAATCAGTCCAACAGTTTAATTACCTCGGTAGCCTCATCTCCTCAGATGGCAAGATCGATGGAGAGATAGACAACAGATTAGCAAAGGCATATAGTGCTTTTGGAAAACACAAAAGAGTGTGGCGTAATAAACACTTGAAGAAAAGCACCAAGATCAGTGTTTACAAAGCCATAGTGCTGTCTACTCTCTTATATGGCTCCGAATCATGGGTCATCTACCGCCACCACCTGCGTCTCTTAGAACGCTTCCATCAACGCTGCCTCCGCACAATCCTAAACATCCACTGGTCAGACTATGTGACCAACACATCTGTTCTAGAGCAAGCAGCTGTCACAAGTATTGAGGCCATGTTGATGAGAACACAGCTGCGATGGGCAGGGCACGTCTCCAGGATGAAGGACCACCGCCTCCCTAAGATCTTGCTTTACGGTGAACTTGCCACTGGCTGCCGCAAGAGAGGAGTTCCAAAGAAAAGATACAAGGACTCCCTGAAACATCTCAGCCTTGGCCATATTGATCACCACAACTGGTCTACTCTGGCCTCCAACTGGGAGGTCTGGAGACACACCATCTATAACGCAGCTGTCTCCTTTGAGAACACACGCAGGATCACCCTCGAGGAAAAAAGACAACGCAGAAAGAACCGTGTATTGCAGAATACACCATCTAAGGAGTCTTTCTGCTGTGCCTTTTGCAATCGGATATGTCTGTCACGTATTGGCCTCATAAGCCACCAGCGTGCCTGTAGCAAATGTGGATAGAGCCTTCCCAAATCTTCGTTCGCGAAGCCCAGCCATGATGATCACAACTCTCTTGTCCCATGCCAACTGCTCACTCTGAATCACACCTTCACCTTCTCAGTTTGATTTTCTCTAGAGCTGGGATACATTACCATAACCATTCTTGCATCTTCTAATGTTCAAATTTTCATCTTAGTCTCCTGCAGCCTCGATCCAAAAGCTTTTCATGTTTATACCAGAAATCAAGATTTTTATGTAAGCAGCAGTGAGGGATTTCATTTGCATGTATAAATGTACAACAGTCTCACTACTCCGGCTGCTGGTGCAAAGTGAATCCCTGACACGGGTTACATTCTCTTAGCTAAAGGCAAAGGCATACGTTAACTGACAATAAATTACCCTATTGTAGAGCCTGCAGGATGGGGATTATCACTCCTAACACACTGTCCTATCCTGCATGCAGTAATCAGAGCAAACTTCTTTGGAAGATTTGAAACACAGGCAAGCGATAACGTGTAAATTCATTAGGTGGCACCTCAAAGCCCAACGTCTGTGTGTGTGTAGTATCTCATCCATTTCAATAGGAATTTTGCCTGCAGGAGAAGTAAGCTCATGCAAATGCTGTTAGATCATTTTAATAGACCAGAAATCTAAGGGGTTTCAGGAGTGGCAAGCAGACACCTTAAAGACATCTCACTGCATAGTACATACTTTGGATTCCAATCCAGAATAAATAAATGCTGGTCTATCCAGTGACAACAGTATAAAGACTGTGATCTAAAAAAAAAGAAGGGACAGAATAAGGACAAAACTGTAATGTCATCTGACAAAGCAAATCTCTTCACCAGACTATAATCTTAAAGTCTGGAAGAATTGTAATATGTCACCATCCTGGCGTTTACGTACCAAAATTAATCCTATTTAGCACATTAGATCTTTATCTAAACCTCTTTGTACAGAGGATGAAAGACTTGACCCTGAGAGAAGGATTTCCAAGAGATGCCTTCAGCTGGTCTATCAGTGCTTTTTACTCACAAATGGAAAAAAAAAATCCCCTGATTTTACAAATCAAACACTTCTAGGCATAATTTATTCGAGGGCTATCTGTAAGTAAGTTGCTGAAGAATTAAGGCACTAAATCACTGTGCTGCTTTTCCTTACTCCTTTTGGCAGAATCATGCTTTCAAGTGCTCAAAAGGGATTTCCAGATTAGTCTCTTCTACTGGGCAACCCTTCTTAATGTACCCACACATTTTGTCCTGTCTGGCTTACCTCTGCACACTGGGAGGCCTGCTCTGACTAAACGACTGGGATGAGTAGGTCTTCAGGGAATGAAATTAGTGAGTTGTGGCTGCAGTCTGGCCAATCCCATCTTACTCACAAAACAATTCTATTCCTGGCTCTGGTGTGCTATTTGTGGGTAGGAAGCCACAGAAGCTGGTTTGTGTTGTGCTGCAGAGAAACTTGCTCACAGAAATTCTGTCTTGAAGAACAAATAGAAAAACAGTGTTTCTAAGAAATGAGACTCCCCAGAAATAAAGGACATGCAACATCTTAATATTAGTCTTAATATTTAAAAAAGAACGCCTTGAAGAGTAATGCTTCTGATTTGCTCCTTTCTTCCATGCTACTGCTTTCCTCATAATCAAGGGAAACAGTTTTACATCTAATGTCACCACTTTTTCTTTTTAGCCCGTTATCTTTTCTAATGGTAAATTCAAAGAAATAAACTTTTGCTTCCAAAAATAAATTGGATATGTAACATTATCATAAATTAGCACTCAGAAAAAAAAAAAAAAAGAACACTGTGTACTGAATGTGCTTACTTTCAGTGTCCTTGGCATTGCTTTGTGATTTTTTTCAAAGCTCTTAACATGGCATTCTTTGCATGACATCTTGCAAAAATTCTCTAGAAAAGTACCAACTTTCTACATCTGTCAATTAAACAAGCTATATTCAGGGAGGTAGTTACTGAGGGTCTATAAGCAGTTAATGAGGAATTCTGTCTAATGGTTGGCAACAAAGGCACTGAGAAAGCAGGGAAAACAGTGTCTGTTCAAAGTTTAGAGTGTACTGAAAACCTCAGACTTCCTGCTGTTTACCTGCATTTTCCCCCCCGTGTCTGTCATGACCAATTAGTTTCATGTCCCTTGGGTAATATCACGCTAATTAAATATCAGAAACCATGGGGCAAAGTGGCAAGAGGTTGTTTGGGGTTTCTTTTGCTATGCAGTTTAACAGTAAGTGACAAGCACCAGCCCTTCCACCATCATATACAACCACTGCAGGATTTCCTTGTAACATTTCCAACCATAAATGTGCTGTGCAAGTATCAGTTCAGTAAAACTCAATGAATGATACCACAACTGAATGCTTACAAGCAGCACTAAAAAGGGAAGCACATAACACAAAGTTTAGGAAGTTCCTTCAAAGAGCTAGGAGACAATCTGTAACTAAACAGTTTTATTGACTTTTTTTTTCCAAAATAAAAAACACAAAATAACCACCAAGATTAAAGGCCATAGACAGCATTAACCAAATGAACCAGCCACTTGGTTATAGTAGCTGATAACTAGAATAACTGGATATTATTGCATATACCTCAGGTTCATTTATATATCCATTACAGTTTGGCAAGATTACAATCATACAGTAGCTTTGGTTGTGTAAAACCTAGTAGCAATACTTACTTAAAATGTGACTGGTTAACATTTTATGACAACAGCTATTTATCTCATCTTAGTCTTGACGCGTCTTCTCTCATTCCATGTTCTCCTCCACACTACACATTGTCACTGACTGAGAATTAAGGAGACATATTTGCAACCATCATTTTTAGCCCTTCTTTATCACCATACAGTGATGAATCCTAAAGGGGTAGGAATCTCTCACTTGGCTTTCCTTACAGAAGTTTGTAGAGCAGCACCTCTTTCCGTGCTGGGTGGCTTCTACCATCCTGTGGTAGCATCTGCCAAGAATCAGTCTGTTCAGAACGCAAATACGTCGAGGTGTATATGGCTTTCAGGCCAAAGCCTTTCCTGACCTACAGTGCTGGGGTGTGACTGTACTGCCTTGCCTTTGGATACAGAAAAAAACCACAAATAAACAAACAAACAGCTTTTCACATTGGTGTGCTGAGCTGCCAGCACAAAACAGTATTACTGAACCTAACACACAATACTACCTTGGTTACAGAGTTGTGCCTGAGACACTGCACAGGATTGCATGTGTATGTTCTACAGTCTATGTATTTCAGTTTTGGTCTTTTAAAGAAATGCTCTCATCCTTACATAATCTAGTGTAACACTGCAGCTTTAGAGTAATGGTTGATAAAAAGTCATAAACACACAGGCTATTTGAAAACACTGGAAGCTTTTTCATTTTTTGCACCAGTTGTGCAGAATTCCTGCCCTTCTGCCATCAGTTTTCCCCCCAGAGTTCTGGGAATCTGCTTCCAGGGGAAATACATCATCTACTTAAAAGTAACCTAAAATTTTGAGTTCTAACTGGGAAAAGCTATAAAATAGTTTGGATCAAACTGAAGTAATCTTGTAAGTGAAGACCCTTCTTCACTTACAAAATGCTGTAACACTAGGTGACATCTACTTGGTTTTGCAGCCCTTTATTTGCTTGCACTGAATCAAAAAGGAATTCAGGATGAGAAATGGGTGCATGGTTTTAAGATCCTGCAGAACAAGGTAACTGCCATGCAGTAATTCAAATGCAAGCAGTGTGACTGCTTTTTGCATTCAGATCCATACTTGTATAAGGATATAAATTAATAAGCCCTTCTAAATGATTTTAGAAATATCCTCTTTGATCTAGACATATAAAACCTCTGAATACTTAGAATCACTAGATTTCACATGGCCCACATAGTCATAATTATTTGCACTTACATGGCAAATATTAGAAATACATTTGCCTGCAGTTGAACAGGTAATTATACTGCCTATTATTCAGCTGAGCAAAGATCAAGCACTCTATATCTTGCAGTTATTGGATCTTATTCTAACCCTTTACTTTAGAAAGGGGAAATAACCATCTAATTATATTACCAGTGCACAGTACTTAGTTTAAAAAAGACAACCTATAGTAGGCAACTAGATTTTTTTCCTAAGATGACTTTTTATGAGATACTCTAAAAGCAGTCTCTTATGACTGAAGATTGTCTATTTCACTGTGTTCGCATAGTAAAAATAGTTAAAATCTAATTACAAAGCTGCTACATGGTTATTTTGTGGTCTGTAAAATAAAACAGTATCCAGAATTTTATCTGAACAAAATACACCAGACAGTATAAAAATATTTCCCAACTGGAGATTGAAACATTAATGCTGGATTTGGTTTTTTTTGTATAAAAAGAAATGTAATAGTGGTCGACATTTATCTGCTTATCAGTCAAAAATGTACATATGACTTCGAGCTGTTCCAGGCTCACTTTCAGTGAGCTTGTGCTTTTGACCCTAGCAGTAATAAATGCACACTTGGAACACAGTTTCCTGAAAACCTGAACTACATCTTATTTCTAACAAATAAGAATAATTTCTGGCTATGGATTTCCACTTATTTGCTTTGTTCAGGCAACTACAGCAGAGGAATTCCAGAAGCACCACTTCCGCTTCGAATGATGTTTGTTCAGTGCAACATCTTCCTTTTCTCTTTCCTTTTTCACCCTCTGGTAGTGATCTTCTTCCTTTAAATACCACACAGGCGGCCACCGATGCCTCTCAAAATATTCTTGATTATCTGATTAAAAAGAAACAATGAAAGAAAAAAACAAAACAAACAAGCCAATAAGATATACAAACCCCTGGAATGTCTTGAGTGTCTGCAAAAACTGTGCAGTTAATCCCTCATCCAGTCTCTATGTTGTCTGGTTTATCAAGGATTCACCCAGTTTCCTCCAATGCCTTACTTACAGTGAGACAAGACTTTGAAAGTGGTTGCACTAAAGAGGCCACAGTCCACCAAAAGCTATAAAAAAGCAAGGCCTTTACAGAGTGTATTTTTCATTGCAGAGCCTGAAAATAGCTCTGTTCCTTTTAGCATCACTGAATTAGGTAAAGAACATAATGCCTGCCCAGCAATCAGGCTAATGATTATGACCTTTCTTTGCAGATAAGAATTTATGAATGCTATTCAGATAGTGCAGAGGTTCAGTCTCATGGCTGAGCTGTCTGAGCTCATATTTGTCTTCAGGTTTAATCAACTGGGTGGGGAGAAAGAAGGGGAAACCTCATGAAAACTGAGGAAGGAAGTTGCCCATACCTGCAGATTTAGCTTTGATTTCCTTGCGGAATTTGGAGCAAACACTGTTGTAGTTGGTGCAGATGTAGTGCAAGCACCAAGCTGCCAGCTGGTTAGCATTGTGAAACTGGGAAGAAAAACAAAGAGCTGATTGCACTTCCTGCGGTTATCATTCATTTTGCAGCCCCCATTAACAGTTGAAACTAGAACGGTCTCCAGCAGATTGTACCTGGCAGAATTCTCCCAAGCATACAGAGCTTTTGAGGCTGAAATGGCCTTTAGATGTCCTAGACCTTGTTGCACAATTCTGCTGGAGCAACCACTGGCCCCAGAACAGGTGTTTAACATGCCCAGCATCTGGCAAAGAGTGTTCAGACTCATGCACACTGGAACTGAATTTCCTGGTGTGATTGTACCAGTCATGTGTCCCTGTATATACTGCAAACCCTGCTCTGAAGTAACTCCCTGCAGAACTGCTCGTTGACAGAAGCTCAAGGCAGAATCTTGTACAAGCTTCCTACAGTCACAAGGAAGCACAGCTAAAATGCAAGTCAAGTTGTACAGCCTGTGTATGGATTTCAGCATTCTGACTGCCTGCTGTGATCTCAGGTTATGAACACATCATACTGAGCTAGGTACTGGGCACAGAGGATATTCTAACAGTAGTTAAGGATATTGCTTCTGTCTTCAACCAGGAGAAAAAAACGAAAAGAAAAATTACTCTTTGTAAAATCAAAATGAAGTGAAGAGAGCTGCTCTCTCTTGGGAGGGGTTCAGTTCTGGTTTTCCAACAGGATTATAGGTATTGCAAGAGAGGCACTTGAAAACAGCTGCAGGAAATGTTGCATGGTGGCCTGCTTTGCAGTATTTTAGTGCTGCCTAAACCCCAGACTTCAAGCCAATCTGCAGCTGACTCATTAATGTGAAATCAAGAATAATAAAATTTTAAAAATATGTTATCTTTTTCTACTGTATCTGGGAGTCTGCTGTATGATTCCTTTTGGAAAACAGCAGTGTTTAACTGTGAGCTAGGGACTCTCTTTTTTAATGATTTCTGGAACTCAAGAAACATTGAAATGTATTTGAACATAAGAATTATCAGATGATTGACTTTGAATAGCCAGTCTAAGTATTCAAAAAATGTTGCCTTTGCAATACGGGTCTAAATAAATCTACCAAAGCTGAATTGAAAGGAAGGCAAGAATCAGTCACCATTACAAAGCTGAACAGCTTCATTACATTGTTTTTCACGCTACTGAACCACGGTCATGAGAACATGGAGCTTGGAAGTTTCACAGTCAAGAAAAACTAAAACATATATTTGAAAGACAACTCCTCTGAGATTACTTAAAGGGATGTTTCACCTCTGAACTAATGGAAAAACCTTCCTTAAAATAGAAGATAAAACTAAGTTTTATTGTCAGTCAGTCTCAGAACTGCAGACTTTGAGCCACTCAGAAGCAATGCTCAGAACCAGTAAGGTGCTAAAAGCAAGTCCTGCAGAGTTGCAGACCAGAATATCTTTAAAAAGTTGTGTACACTGACCTGTGCCAATTCCAAATAGGAGAGCACTTCCCCATCTATTGCAACGCCGCTCATGGAGGCTTTTGTCAGCTCTTGTACTGCATGCTGTTCTGTTAGAGGAGAAAACTCATCACTCACATGGCAAATGGTCACATTTCAAGGTCAGATCATCTACAGCTAATGAAGAATCAAGGTGGGATGTTCTCCCTCCTCCTGGTGTTAGCTGGCATTATGCACAGGTCACATTCACCCAGATACCATCAGATTTGGGTAAAGTCAAATTCTCACCTTTAGAGCTGTGGCTGAAGATTCTGTATCACAGGTATAAACTGTCTTGCTCCACTGGAGCACAGCCCCCATGAGGATTTGCCCCTTTGCTTCAACCCAAACAATTTATTTTGGTTTCATGCAATTCTTATCTCTTTCTGACAGAAAGTAAGCCTGCAGTTAATAACCACTCACAGAAGGACAAAGTTCAGCAGCCACTAGTCTCTTTCTGGAAGAATGGATGGGTACAATATTCAATATAAATTAGAAATACGGATCAGCTGTCTCTTTTGGGTAATAAGAAGTTTTTAGGCAACAGCGCACTTCCCACTGAATTGTGGATTTATTAATGAGTGTACACAGCACTGAGAGAGAAAAGGTCACTTCAGGGCCTCTTCAGACTTTCAGATCTAGGGATCCAGATGAAGGCTGACCAGCTCCCCTCCAACAGTCACTTCAGTTCAAGATTCTCCCTAACCCTTTCCTAGAACTATTTCCTAGAATCTTGGAAGTTTGAATGCTTTTTGGGAAAGGCTGTCAGGTGACTTGATTCTGCTGGGTTCAGTTGTTGGCAGTAGCCTTTGGACTCAAAATTATTTCATCAAGAATTAAACTGAATGAAATATTCTTAATACTGTACATATGTTTATGCTGCAATTACTTAAAAAAAAATAACCAAAACTTCAGATAAAATGTATATACGAAATCAGGCAATAAAGATTTGGTCTGTCAGAACCAGTGAAGACATGAGACAGTCCTGATGCACAACTGAAGGAGACCTAGGGTTTGGTATGTGATTAAGTTTTGCCTAAATGTTGTCTTGTAGATATGTGTAGCTTTGCTTCATCTGCCTCTGAGTTTTGGCCTTGGTCATGTCTTCATAACAGTGCCAAGTTACATACATAGAGAGAAACATGATCATCCAGATCAGTCCTGGCTCAGTTACTTTCTTTGAACAGAAATGTAAAATGGAGCACTTCATTCATGACTTGAAGGAAAACCTGGAGGAGTTCTTGTTTTCAGGTAAATTAACAACAACAGAATGGCTATTACAATCCACAGATATTAGAATCAATTCTGAAGAGAAGGTTTACTCCCTCTGTTTTTAAAGCACAGAAAACTTCAATGTTCTGAGCTGACTCAGCAAGAAACTGAAAAGTGCAAGAGAAAGGCAAATACACTTCTCTATATGAAAATATCAATTTGTGTTACAATGTCCCTCTCAGAAAAAAAAGATTTTTTTCTGACACTTGGGAAAATCTTTGTATGTTTGAAAAACCATTAAACCACGTTTTAGCCATTGCAGAAGACACTGCATTGGACAAGGCCACAAATTCTTACCTGCAAGAGCAATCAGGTGAGGAAGGCAAAACCTATTTGCCAATGCAATTAACTCAAGTGTGTCCAGTTCCTGACTGGAGGACAGTTGCTTGGTATACAAGTAATCTAAAACCGCTTGCATGGAAGCCTTGTTTATGTTGGGAAGAACTACCTGGAAAAGATATTTAAGAAAAAAGTCTCTAATAATTAAGGGATTTTAATATAGAGGCCATATTTCACCTCTCTGACTTTGCTGGACTTTCCCTTTTTCTCTTCATGTTATTTTAGGAATGCAGGGAAAACATTTTTCAAAACAGAAATTTCCCATTTAAGTTCAAGAAGCTGCCAGCAGGTAAGCATACCTCCAGAGTCAGATCCTTTGCCAGTTTACATACAAGCAACTAGGTACCAAGTTGCTGGAATTGGATCCACATCAAGCAGTGAATCTGCTCAGTGCTTTTCTAGCCTGCAAATGGACAGCTCAGTGAGATACATAAAAGCCACTGAGCACTCCTCATGCCAAACCTCCCTTGGTAGATGTCCTGAGGAATGTAATCTATCTGCTCCTGGTAAGGAATATTCTGAGACTAACAAAAACCAAAGGATAACAATAAAACAGACTCTCAGTCTGTTAGTAAATAATCAAATGATCCAAGCAAAGAAGTTTGGGAAGGAACTGAGAACTGAAGAAATGAAGAAAATGTAAGCTGTTTTTGCCACACATGTAATTAGTGTAACCAGCATGGGATGAAGCTACCAAGACCAGGACAAAAGTTGTCTATTTTTTCCCCAGCACAACCCTAACTCCATTTCACTGCAGGGAGGCCTAGAAGAAGAGGAAGGACAGTTCAAAAGCCCCACTGTAACCTATCACTGTAGCATCTCAACCACAGTTTGCACACACGATCAACCCTCCAAGAACAGGGTAAAACTTGCAGGGCTGAAGGTTGCAGCTGGTAGGTCTGCCTCCAACCCCTGAGCTAGTGGATCCCATCAATCAGCAATTTGTAATGTACATCTTCATAACTCAAGAAAGAGATGCTGTCACTGAAGAATGCACTGTGGTATTCTGAAGAAATTGCAGAAAAAGAATGGCACAGCAGAAAAATAATAAAAAAAATATGATGAGGAATTAATTAAATGTACATGCAACTCAATCTGACTGTTAAGCAGTCAGCACATACTTCCTGCTAGATGGGGTTAAGTGTTGCCAGGTAGCTGGTTGTTAACCTTCAGGGATTTGTGAATTTTTTTTCAGCTCTGCCTGGATGGGTGGGATCCAAACCCACATCTGTTAGTGCTAAAGCATGAAGCTCTCCGGCATATCAGCCACTCAAGTTCTCCAAGTGAGAGCAGCTAGCTGTGAAACTCATTCATTATTAATATATTTTTGTTAGTGCAGAGAACTGTAAATTCAATGAATGAGTTTATTAAATTTGCCCCAAATACAGAAAAGGTAATATGTAAAAATAGATGGTTTTATTTTTCGTAAACCAGTCAAAGGAAACCATTTGATTCATATCTACCTGTATCTACATATCTACCTATATATATTCCAAAAGCATTACTGAATGCCTTAAACTCTACAAAATGGAAGCTAAATATTTTAAATTGGAAAGATAAGCTAATACTGTTAAGCTAATCATTAAAAATAGGCTGGTAGAAAATAAATGCATATTCTTCATTGCCAAATGTAGCTTACTAGAATGAAACTATGTATTTTTAATGAACCACTTGTTGAGTATGCCTCTGGGAAAGGAATTATGTTTACAGCTGTATTAGAAGAAGCCAGAAAAATCTAAGTAGAACAAAATCTTCCTGAATATTAAACATGAAAGAACTGAAATCTTCATATGAGCGAGACCCATGAGTATGGAAAGGAACAAGAAAATCAAAACAAAAATAAAACTCTGGGCATGGATAAAGCACAAGAAAGAAATATTAGCCAAGTGTTTGGAATTTGAAAAACAGACCATGAAGGCAACTGAAAATACAAAGCTTCTGCTGCAAAATCTTAATTCAAAGCACTGAGATCTTTTAAACTGTATTGCATACCTGCTTTATTCCAGAGGACAAACTGATACAGAATCTGAGCTGAGTTTTTACTGAAGTTAGTAGAACTTCTACCAAAGTTCACTTAATTTCTGTGAAACCAGCTCCCTTTTCTAGTTTAACACTATGTTTTTTAATACCTTTTTTCCTTCAGTTCCTTCATCAATGCCCCGTCTCAAGTATTCTTTGTAATGCTTCTGATTGTACAAATGTATATTCACACTGCTTAAAAATTATTTTAAAGAAATTCACTAATTCATACTTCATTTCCCCCCCATCCCTATATTTAATATTTTAAAGGACTTTGGGTTTAAACACATGCTCCAATGCTGGAAGGAAGTTTTGTACAGAAAGGATGCTATCTTCCTAGGCAACCTTATTTAATGCCTTAAGAAGAAAATTGTCCCAAGTTTGCAAGGGAAGAATAAAGACTGACTCCAGGGATTACTGCAACCTTTCAAATAGATACAGAATGATGCTCCCATCACCCTAAATCCATTAAACATTATAAGTAAAATGGACAAAAACAGACAAATACCTCACTGTTGGAGCTTTCAATAAATGATCCTCCAAACATAGCAGACATCCATTCACAGCTACAGATGAGCAGTGGCTTGTGGGCCTTTATGCTTCCATCGTCCAATTTAAATGTCACATCTGCCATGGGAACAAAGGAACAGACGTGCTGCAAAGCTGTGCTTCAAGTGAAATTGTGCCTCCAGAATGTGTGTGTCACTGGCATGTTGTTAACCAAGGACCTCTTTCATTTCCCATGGCCCCCACCCCAAAAATAATTCAGTTTTATATAGTTAAATGAAAATCCTCATTTAAAAGGGGGATATTGGATGCTCAACACTTTGGAGAATTGAGTCCCTTCTTTAAAAGCTGTGGGTAAATTTTGAGAAATTAAACTACAGAATCCCAGGTTGGAACAGTTGGCCTGAGTAACACTGTAGTTTTGGGGTCATCCTCCCTGAACAATGTAAGCTGTCAGAGTTTTTGAAGCCTGGGAAGTGAGAGTAACATGAATGAGAAAAGAATTAGTGCTCTTCCTGCTTAAGCACGTATTTACTCACCAGAAAATGTCCCTTTGCAAAGGCACTCTTTTATCCGATTAGCTTTTCTGACATGAAATGCTTTAGTAATCTCTTGATTCATGAAGGCTTCTTTATTCATAATATTCTCCACCATCATCCGCAAATCAAATACTTCCAAGATTTCAGCAATCTGAGCGAGTCTTGTGAGGTCTTTCTCATTTTCATCCAGTTGGCCTGTGTATAAAAACTGCAAAACAGTTTTAAAAGGTCCAGCCTGCACAGAGGAATCCATTTTTACCACAGTTACAGGACATGTCCGATTGGAGACCGGATTCACCTGCATTTCCTTGTGCACACTAACAAATCCCTTACCCCAGGACGACAGAGATCTCGCTGCAGGGTTTGTTTCACCAGATTCGGGTTCTAGCATGTTCAAAGAGTCACTGCTTTCTGGTGGGGGAATTTTAACATCAGCAGTTTTCAAGGAATTCTCATCACTGTCACTATTTGTCTCAGGGTGACTTGTCTGAACATCCTTACTTGTATTTTCTTTATTACACTGTGTTTCATCCAAGTCTGGACTTTCCTCACATTCCATTAAGAAAAGGTCATAAAACTTTGAAGAGGAGGTAGCTAGGTAAATCTTGTGAGCAAAAATGCAGTCCTGCTCCTGGAGAACAAACATGACATCTGCACACAGTGGGCTGTCCAATAAATATCCAGCTTCATTCATGCTCGGCACGGGACACTCAGGAATTCTGATAACCGGAGGAGGGGCTTTTGGAGGTAGGAATGGAGCCTGAAGCAAAGGTTTTTGGACCTTCTTCAAATGAGATTTCCAGAACTGCAAGTGTCTTCTGGAGATCAGGGCAGCTCTAATTGCATTGTCAAAGACATCTTTAATCCCAAACTGATCAAATACACTGGTTTCATAGTATGGTATCCCGAGTTCCTTGGCAACCTCTCTGCCTCTTTCTGGGGGCAAAATGTCTCCCCTTTTTATCGGCCTAGGGTTAAACAAAAAATAAACCTTGTCACACACAACAATCACCAGAAAGTTATTCCAGAAAGCATGGAATTTTACAAAACATTCAGCACTAATTCCCTTTGGAAATCTACAATCATGACTCCACAGAGTTTTAGAATAGCACATACTTAAATTTCATTTAAGTGTGGTGGTGTCTTTGCAGTTGTTACTAAATATATGTAGAAATCAATTGCACGAAAAAGAGTAAGCTGCCTCTCTATTAAAGGGAAATTTAGAGTAAAAACAGTTGATAGGATACTTGAGAACTTTCATTATTTAAAAAAATCTCCTAACATCCCTTACAACTCAGATATTTTGTCAGAATCTTTCTTCATATTCATCATTTAAACTCAAATGGAAATCCTCATGACATAAAAATGCCAAAAATATAGCTAAATATGAAATGAGAAATATTTCTTAAGTTTATGCTTTTTAAAGAAAATCATAGGAGCCTGTTACACAAAAGTGTAATTGAACACACTCTTCACAAGAGAGGCTTTTTTGGCTGTAGAAGCATTATGTGAGAACTCATGAATTTCCAGAACAGCTCTAGTACATGAGGTAGGGTAAACAAAACCAGTAAAAAGTCTGGGCTAGGATCCATTTTCCCAGCAAAAAAATCATCTCACCAGAAGACACGACCCAACAGTGTGTTCTCTGAGCATTCCATATTGGGCAGACACAAGCTGGCACAGACTTAACACACCCCAGACAACAGCTTGCTGTAGTCATCAGCTAATAAATAACCAGTTCAGGTGGCAGAAGTCTGTGCTAGACATGCAGAGTACCAATTCAGTTTTATTAATGGTGAAATCAGGAATTAGGGCAGAAGAAGAGTTATGGAAAAAAAAAATCAAACATTTCCTTTTAAAGAGTCAAACATAAAGCCCACCCCACCCACATTATGAAGAAATGTTTAATAAACAAACATATGAAAATCATATTGCCAAATCAAGAATTTGAATGCAATGCAATGCAAAGTCTTCTAAGGGCCCACAAAATATTAATTCAATCTCCTTACAGAAATTTCTTACAATACAGTCTTTAATTACATGATCATGAATATTATTTCCACGAATCTGGTCTCATTCAAATTCTCACGGAAGGAAGAAATTAGAAGTAAGCAGGTAATTGTGAGATGGTTTTGTCCAAACATGTGAGTGCTTGTCTTTTGAATCTGGGCAACAAAAAAAAGGCTTCTCCAGAATGACTCCAAACTCTCTTTTAACACCAGAGCTTTTCGAAGTTTAATTTGCAACCGTTTTATTGTCTGCCATCCATGATCAAGGATTACAATTACCAAAAAAAAAAAAATAAAAAAAAATCGAGAACTAAGAAAACTTGAGTAGAATCTGCCAGTTTAAAACAGTACCTGACAGTAGTGACAGGGTACGATACACATGTTCATGATACACATGTTCAGAAGGAGAAAGACATATATTAAAACCTTCAATAAACATTATTACCTCTATCTTACTATAGTGTTCAGGCACCCAAATGAGTTAGATGTCCAATGTGTAAAAATATTGTGGGAAACATAATAACTGCACATGTTAAAAGAACCAACCAACTCAGACAACAAAATCAGAAGAAAGCACATATATTCCTATTGTATAGAAAAAAGGAATCTAGGCTCTCTAATTTCTCTTTTGGAAGTGCTGTAACTTGATTACCAAGGTGATTTCTTATTTAATTCTTATTTTTGTTTAAATTTTACCTTGCCAGAGGCCGTCTGGCTCTGTTCACAGCCTCCAGGTCTGCATAGCGGAGATCGAGCTGGCAGCCCACCAGAATGACAGGTGTGCGGGGACAGAAGTGCTTGATTTCTTGATACCACATTGTTTTCACATGATTCAGGGAATTAGGATTAGCAATGGAAAAGCACAGAACAACCACATCAGACCTAGAAAGGAAACGAGAAAAGATCCAATTAAAACCCCACGGAGGATTTTTGCTGCAGTTTCACCTGTTTTCATCACCACTCCACTCTACTCTTTGACAAATACACTGACACTCATGTCAGAACACATGTTGTTCGTGCAGAGGGTTGACAGAAGCTACACATTTCACCACAAAAGCATGGGAGCACAAAGCCACATACCCAGGAGCACTGACTGCCTCTCTATTCTGAGAGATGATCCCTGCACGTGTGAGCACTAAGGCAAGAGGGAGGGCTTTCCATTCTCTACTTTCACAGCACAGTTACTCAGAGGTTGTCATTACCCAAGAAACAATTCTGTTGACTGGACACCTAAACTGCAGTTCAAAGATCACTGGTGCTTAGGAATTGGAGAGGAGTTATGCAAAACTTCAGAGTGGCCACACAGGCAGACACAGATCACTTCCAAACTTGCCATGGAGAAATACCTTTACTGCACTGTTTTAGGGACTGAGGTGGTCTCCTCTGCAATGTGCTTTGAACGGAAATTCTCTAATATCTTTAATAAATAACCTGCTAGAAGGTCAAAGTACTGCAGAATGACCACTTCTACAATATCAGCAAAAATAAACATGGTGAAAATAAGGTCGCTAAAGTGTACAATAGGACAGTGGCTTAGAGTAAGCATGACAATATTTGCAAGCTTTTTTTCCTTAGAAAAAATAAGTACTTCACTAAATAAACTTACTTTATAAATTATAAATATGAGGATCAAGGCTGACAGTTCATCCACCCAACCATTGCCTGACTTTTGTCAGAGCTAGCACCCAAAGGCAGAGAAATGCCTGAATACTTGTCTCAGGGCATTCCTAACTTGGAGCAATTTCATTATTTATCAACTGGATGGGATGTTACAAAGCAGTCCTCGAACTCTGGGGTGTCTCATGAGGAAAAAAAAAAAGAAGAAAAAAAGCTGAATTGAAACTCTTGAGAACAATTGAGAAGGGACGTTTTGAGGAGGCAACCTATTGATACAGAATTGTCAGCAGGATAAGCTCAGCAATACCACATCTATCTCACTTTTATTATTCTTTAATTTAGCACCAATGTGTTGTGTCTGCAGTTTGTGTGATGTACAGAGCAGCAGCAGTGAATCTTAGCATTCACCTTTTAAATAATGAAATACCTCCTCAGTACTGCTGCTTTCTACATTTCACTGAGGGCACAGATATATCCAGCAAGACCATTTCCAAAGATAGCTGCATATACAATACGGGTACTGCTGTGAGCATAAATCTAATGCAAGAGAAATGCTCCTGCTCCGAATTTCTCTCTTATATAAGCTGCAACACATCTGTTATATCTAGGAACAAGGTTTTTCAAACTGGAAAGTTATCTAGCAAACAGTAAAACACAGCTCATACACTGGTTTGCTACATAGCTGAGGCAAACACCCTGTAAATTCAAACCTGTTCTATTCAAGGTCAGGTAAGAGTAAAATCTTACAGTAGACATTAGCTCAGCTCCCAGAAAGAGAAATCAGTGTACAGCTAAAATAAAAAAAAAAAAAATAATCTGTGTTACATGTATTCTAATCTGGTCAATTGTTGTTTAATTCAAGACCATCACGACTGCTGGAGCAGCAAACGTTGGCTGCCTGGCTGCTCCTCACTGTAACTAAGCATCTCAGAGGGACAGCCTGTCTTGTGTCCTTCAGAAATTAATACCTAAGCTGAGTAATTGCAGTCACAAGTATCCAAGCCTCCTGACTTTACAAGCCACAGGACACACATCACATCCCTCAGAAAACCAAAAGGAAGCAGAGCTCCAGCAGGCGTTCACAGGCAGGCCAATGCTGGGCTGGGCACGGATCCGGGTTCCTGAGAGAGCCAGGGAGGATCTGCTCCATGGACAGGGCTGGCCCAGACTATCCAGCAGACTGGCCCCTGCATGTGTTACAGCCCTTGCCAAGGAAGTCTCATGTTTTTCTCTCCAAGTTCCATGTGATTCCTGAGCAACTCATTGCCTCTGACCTTCCTTGGGAGACCGTAAAACAGGGCTGGGGAAAGCTCAGTTCTTTACCCAAAACTCACAACACACTAGCACTACACTAACAGAACATTCTCATCTGTCTTCCGAATGAAGAGAAAAACAGAAAAAAAAGAGGTAAAAAATGTGACTTGCACATTATTTATCCTGCATTAAAACCTGGACTTCCCCATAAAATGAAGATTCCTGACAGTTCTGTACTGAACAGAGAGAGATTAATGGTTCTGTGCCATAAACAGGACAGATGGGAAATCACTGGGCAATGGCAGGGTTCACACCCTGAACCAGCACCACAGCTGGGTCTGGTAGCTCACAAAATACAGACACTCTAATATAATAAATTAAGTTTTCATTCAAGTCATACGCGTGATTTGCACTCTTAGTACAAACTAGAGACAGAAATATATGAGGAAGATTAACTGTCTACACAGAACCGTGAACACCTGGGGAAAAATGTCATTTGGAAACTTTAATTGAAATACCTACAATTCCTTTTAATGTCAAAGGCACATTTACAACTTGCAAACATTGCAGTATAAAGCTTGGTTTGACATTTGTTCATAAAAGCCAGAACCTGTCAAGTTAAAATAAAGCATTAATATTTCCCAAACATTAAAAATTTACCAATGTTATTTTAATATTCTTAGGGAATGTAAAAGGATATAATTTTAAAAAATTGCCTAATTTATTGCCATTTTTGTGCAGTTACTCTTTGTGTTGGTTACCTGGAGAACGAGAAAGGATGAATCGGTTTACTTCTGTTTTCTTCTTTCTCTCTACAGCAATATATTCACAACTACAAGCTGCACTGATTCTAAAAACAAAACTTCATAGCCATTTCCCAGTAAAATTCAGGAACAGTTCAAGAAACATTTCCATAAATTTGAATACCAGAAAGTGCTTTATAGAATTATAGAACAGTTTGGTTGGGAAAGATTTTAAACACCACCTCATTTTGAGCCCCTGCCATGGGCAGGGACACCTTCCACAATCCCAGGTTGCTCAGAGCCCCATCCAACCCAGCCTTGAACAATTCCAGGGATGGGGAAGCCACAACTTCTCTGGGCAACCTGTGCCAGGGCCTCACAACCCTCACAGGGAAGATTTTCATTCTAATACCTAATCTAAACCTCTTTCAGTTTAAAGCCATTCCCCCTTGTCCTGTCACTAAGTGCTCTTGTAAAAAGTCCTTCTCTGGCAAATGCTTTATAACTTCTGCATCACATTCATCCAAGAGTACCATCCAATGGAGATGGGCAATAGATGCACTGTGTGCATTTAACCTTTGTTAAATAAAACAAATATATAAATATATATATATATTGAATATACTGTTATTTGATACTGAAGCATCATGAGAAACAAAAATAAGTACTACAAATAACTCAGAAAACAGAAACAGTAGCTTGGATATCCAACATGCTGTCTTGTAGATTCCATGGTACCTGTTGAAAATCCATAACTGCTTCATTCTTATATTCTACATTTTCATAGGCTTATCAGAAAAAAATTGCATATCATCTATTCTCATTATTTGAGCTTCTGAACATAAGTATCACCAAAACTCCAAATTTCTGTGTGACTTGCTCTAGTGTGTGATCAACCACCAGTGACACACTGCATCACCAGTGGAAGAAAATGGGTTTCTTTCAACTCACTGGGGCTCCAAACAGGGAAGAACACAATGTAGATGTGTGGGACTTGGCAGGTTATCTACACAAAGGTAGCAGATTCTCTCAGCTGCGGGCAAATCAACCACCACTCACATGTTTGTCACCTCCTGCACTGGAGTCTCACATTAAAATGTAAGAGTAGTGTGTCTCTGAAATGCTCCCCTTGGAGTCATAGAAATGCAAAATTCTTAATGCAAAATATACACATCTGAAGTCAACCCAGCTTGGTCTAAACATATCTATGGCCTTCCCACAGGAGATTTCTGTGGGCAAAGAAAGAATCTTACCACTGGCTGGAGAAGCAACCCATCTATCTAAGGTAAATATTACATCAATGCATTTGGTGATATTTCCCCAAACTTGGGTAAGAAGAACTTCTGATGGAAGCAACTACCCCTTTTTAGACTTCAGGGAATGAAAAGAAACCCTCTAGACAACCAAATCTCTGGCAGGAATGAGCCCATGGTGTGCTGCCACCCTGTGAGCTCCTGGTGTGTGAGTTATGAACTGTATCCGATGTACAGTGAGCATCCAACTCACTGCTGAAAAGCAGCAGTATAGCACTGACAAAAACAACTTTATCAGCCTCAGCCTTCAGCAGCAGTCAAGCACAGGTAGCCACTTTAAATGTCTGGAACTTTCTGTGCAATCAGTACAATAAGAAACCCATGAGGTGGGGGGAGAAAAAGCAGTGTATGAGCTATGTAACAAGCCTTTCTGACGATGCTACTAGAAGCAGTGGGAAAGTAAATGCTTAATGTTTTCTAATTAGAGCTGTTTTGTGTAACATAGCAGTGGTTTGGGACTGAGATTTTGAAAGAGTCATCTGCGTGCAGGGTATGTGTGCTCCAGAGCTGGTGCAAGATGCACTGCAGATGTACCTACACATCACACTGCAGATCTAACTCTCAACAAAACCTGCTACATATATTCCATCTTCACTAATCTTATTTTAGACAGAACTTCAAGGAAACAGCCATGTCAAATGAGGTACATTCCATGGCAAGTGTATTTAAAAGTTTAATGTTTTATAGTCTGGATCTGGAGTTATGAACTGGCTGAGATACACTAACATGGGTTTATATCTCATTAAAGGGAAAGGCTGCCTTCTGAAATGTACACTCTGCATTACCTGGGTAGAAGTTGCTCCCTTTAGTTTGTAGTTTATGAGTTACTGGGGAAAACTGCTGCATGGAAGAATTGCTGGTCATGTGTAAGGGATATCATTTGCCATACAGCCATGGAATAATACTGTTGGGTTTGGAAAGGGGAAGAAATAAAGCTGTGAGGAACGCAGAATGT